CAAACCTCCCTCAGGGGCCACCAACCCTTCCTTTGTCACCTCAGGGGCCACCAAAGCTCCCCTGAGGGCCACCAACCCCCCCATGGGCCACCAAAACATCCCAGTGGCCACCAAAGCCCCCCAGTGGCCACCAAACCATCCCAGAGGGTCCCTGTGCCCTCATGGGCCACCAAAGCCCCCTCAGGGGCCACCAAAGTGGGTCATGAGTTAATTGGGAAATTGATTAATTAGTTCATTGATCCAGGCATTCATTGGTTCCCTGATTAATTGATTAATTGGCTCATTGATTAATTGGGTAATTGGTTATTGGTTACTTGATTAATTGATTAATTGGCTCATTGATTAATTGGCTCATTAGGGAATTGGTTTCCTGATTAATTGATTAATTGGCTCATTGATTAATTGGGTAATTGATTATTGGTTACTTGATTAATTGATTAATTGGCTCATTGATTAATTGGCTCATTAGGGAATTGGTTTCCTGATTAAGTGATTAATTGGCTCATTGATTAATTGGGTAATTGGTTAATTGGTTCATTGATTAATTGGCTCATTGATTAATTGGGTAATTGAGTATTGGTTACCTGATTAATTGATTAATTGGCTCATTGATTAATTGGGTAATTGATTATTGGTTACTTGATTAATTGATTAATTGGTTCATTGATTAATTGGGTAATTGAGTATTGGTTACCTGATTAATTGGCTCATTGATTAATTGGGTAATTGATTAGTGGTTGCCTGATTAATCGATTAATTGGCTCATTGATTAATTGGCTTATTAGGGAATTGGTTTCCTGATTAAGTGATTAATTGGCTCAATGATTAATTGGGTACTTGATTATTGGTTAATTGGTTCATTGGGGAAGTGGTTACCTGATTAATTGATTAATTGGCTCATTGATTAATTGGTTCATTAGGGAATTGGTTACCTGATTAATTAATTGGTTCATTGATTAATTGGTTCATTAGGGAATTGGTTACCTGATTAATTGATTAATTGGCTCATGGATTAATTGGGTACTTGATTATTGGTTAATTGGTTCATTGGGGAATTGGTTACCTGATCAATTGATTAATTGGTTCATTGATTATCAATTAATTCGGTAATTGTTTAATTGAGCCGGGCATTGATTAATTGGCTACTTGGTTCATTGATTAATTGCTTCATTGATTATTGGTTAATTGGTTCATTGGTTCATTGATTAATTGGTTCATTGGCTTATTGGTTACTTGATTAATTGATTAATTGGTTCGTTGATTTTCAATTAATTAGGTAATTGGATAACTGGGAAATTGATTAATTGGTTAATTGATCCAAGCATTAATTGGTTCATTGATTAATTGATTCATTGGGTAATTGATCCAGGCATTGAGTAATTGATTAATTGGGTAATTGGTTCATTGGTTCCGTGATTAACTGGTTAATTGGGTGATTGATTAATTATTGATTCATTGAGTCACTAATTGGTTCAATGATTAATTGGTTAAGTGACCCAGGCATTGATTAATTGATTAATTAGTTTATTGATCCAGGCATTGATTACCTGATTAATTGGTTCATTGATCCAGGGATTGATTAATTGGTTCATTGATTCATTGGGTCATTGATTAATTGATTTGTTGATTAATTGATTAATTGGTTAGTTGACTCAGGGATTGATGAATTGATTAATAAATTAATTGATTAATTGATCCAGGCGTTGATTGGTTAATTCATTCATTGATTAATTGGTTAATTGAGCCATGTGTTTGTTAATTGATTAATTGGTTAATTGATTCAGGGATTGATGAATTGGTTAATTGATTAATTGATTAATTGATTGTAGGGTTGATTAATTCAGGGATTGATTAAAGATGGGATTAATTAATTCCAGAGATGGGATTAAATCCATGGATTAATTAAATCTGGGATCTAATAACGGCAGGGATTAATTAATTAGAGGATAGGATGAAATCCAGGATTAATTAATCCCAGGTTTTAATTAAATCCGGGATTGATTAATTAATCCTGGGATTGAATAAAATCTGGGCTCAATTAATTTCCAGCTAGGATTAAATATTGGGATTAATTAATTCTAGGATCTAATTAAATCCGGGTTTAATTAAACAGGATTAATTTCAGGGGTTCATTAAATCGGGGATTTAATTAAATCTGGGATTAATTAACCCTGGGCTGGGATTAAATCCTGGAGTTAATGAAATCCGGGATTAATTAATTCCAGGGATTAATTAATTCCAGGATAAAATCAAATCCAGGGATTTAATTAAACCTGAGATTAATTAATCCCGGAATAGGAATAAATTTTGGGTTAATTAATCCCAGGGTTGGATTAAATTTGGGATTAATCAACCCGGGCCTTAATTAGACTTCATTAAACCTGGCATTAATTAAGATTAAATTCCAGATTCACTCATTGCCGGATGAGATTAAACCAGGGATTAATTTAATTAAATAATTATTAATTAAACCTGTGATTTAATTAAATCTGGCATTAATTAATCCCAAACTTTACGGGAAGAACGGGGGGAAATAAGAGAAAAATCGGGAAAAATCGGGAGA